ATTTTGTGCTCTATGACAACGACTAACACCTATTTCGCTCCTACTGCCACAAAATATTTGGGCTTATTTTATTCCACTGACTGCATAGAATGAAGCTTATTTTATTTAGCTGACACCAACAATTGGGACATACTTTACTCCCCATGACCCCAATAATTTTACCCTTATTTTACCCATACTTTCTCTTCAGTATACCCCAGACCCTATTTGGTCTAAAATTGCCTCTCAGCAGCACAGTAACTGCACAATTATATAGCACTGACTATGTGCACTGAGCAGCACACTGGAACTTATTTACCTCAAAGCTGTTTGTCAGGATGTTGAATATCTAACTTTGTATGGGGGGATTTGGTGGAGGATGGAAAGTTTATGCTGTGAAGAAGAGGGTTCGGTGAGCCCTGTACTTTGGAGAGATGTTGGTCAGTATAGGATTTGACTGCAGAAATTGACTCTTTTTATAAAGAGATTAAAGTGTTTATTCAATGAAATAGGTTTCACTTAGCCACACCCACATTTTGGCATGGTGCACTCAGCGCACCACTGTTTTATCCATCTGGTTAGCTTATCTCTGACATCTCTGTGTTGATGGTGGGTTGCCTTTGAAGCTGGACGAAAATTGCAATTTATGGCAAGCCACTGCTAGGTCCAAGCTCTGCAAGCTATTTACAAACTGTTATACCCTTGGTACATGGTGCCCCGTCATCTTGACTGCTTTGTCCAAGACACAGGGAACTGCTCCCGTGACTGCCCTGATAGGGGAACCAATATTCACATATGATGAACCTGTCTCACGGTACGCCTGTGGATGCAAGTCTGTAGGATAATCTCCTGTTGGGCACCAACATACCTGAAACTCTGAATGAAGCACTCCTCAGGCTGGGCACACACCTTACAACCATCGCAAGACTTGTCTTGCGATGGTTGTAAGGTACTTAAAAAAACGTACGATCTGCCTATCTTGCATAGGCAGATCGTACTTGCGATGATCGCAAGCCACGCCCCCTGAAGGGCGGGTTTCCGATGACCGCAATGCCGAACGGGCAGTGTGCGCTTGTGCACACCGGCCCGTACGGCTTTTATCGTAGGAACATGCCACAAACCCGCCGAACATCGTACGATGCTCGGCGGGTTTTTGAACATGTCCGTAAGTTAAAAGTTGTGCGACCTTACAGTAGTAGAGGTCGCACGGCTTCCACACACCTTACGATAATCGTACGATCGCGGGATTTCCCACGATTATCGTAAGGTGTGTGGGGACCTTCAGTCCCCAGCTGGAAGGTCTTACAAAATTTAATTTTAAACTAATGACACGTTTTCACAGCTAAGAAACGCACCATAGCGACAGCCTGGTTAACCGACTCCCTTTCGATAGCTAAAATCAAAAGAAGAATACACTAAACATTCTGTAATGAAATACTGAGCGCAAAACTAAGAACATCCAAATTTAAAAAGGTGCAGGAGCTGTGCCACTATCCTTATAGACTTAGCTTCTTCTCACACCTCTGCAACGTAACATTGCAGAGGTGCATTGTGGTGTGCTGCGGTGGAGCAGCCCTACCACAGCTAAATCACACTCAGGGAGAGCAAGCTCCTTTTTTTTTTTAACCGCACTGCACCGCATCACATGGTAATAGGTAAATAGGTGGTGTGATACAATGCAATGCGAAAAGGTGAATGAAGCGCACCCAACATTGCAACATGTGATGCAGGATCGCGTGCGGCATCACCAGAGGCGAAGCTAGACATTCCATCACCCGGGGCAAAGACTCAGACAAGTTTTTCATCCAAATGACGGCGGCACCCCTCCTGATCCACCGCAGAGTTGAGGCATCAAATCGCCTCATTCTCCAGTACCGCTTTGTTAATTTAGAAGCTGCTTCTGGGCTTGCTTCTATTTTCCTGGCGGTGCCCCTTATAATCTGTCATGGAAGAGAGACTTGAATGAAGTGAATTCAAGCCTCACCTCCATGGTGGATCAGAAGGGGTGAGGCCGCACCAAAAGAAAAGGAGCACAGAAGCAGATCTAAATACACTAATCCACCAAGGAGGTTCATTACGCAGCAATACATTATACAGCAATGCAGAATACCACCAGCTAAAGAGGACTACAAATCCCAGCAATGCATAATACAGCAATACAGAATAATATGAAGCGTCACAGTCTGTGTTGCTCTGGTCTGGTGGCCTGATGTCAGTTGTAATGCAGAGGTCAGAGGCCAGCAGTGTGACGCAGAGTACAGAGGCCAGCGGTGGGACGCAGAGTACAGAGGCCAGCGGTGGGACGCAGAGTACAGAGGCCAGCGGTGGGACGCAGAGTACAGAGGCCAGCGGTGGGACGCAGAGTACAGAGGCCAGCGGTGGGACGCAGAGTACAGAGGCCAGCGGTGGGACGCAGAGTACAGAGGCCAGCGGTGGGACGCAGA